GCCATTTAAAAATTATTTAAGTGCTAAATAAAAAATATTTTTTAAAGTCTACATACACTGCCATCTGAAATAGAGGTTATGACCAAAATTTAACTGAATCTCTTCACCCCCCCCCACCCCTTGTACATGTATCAACTATTTAAGGTGGTAAAAATAGCACTTAGGAGTTAATTTGGAATGTTTGGAAGAGAAGCTCCGAGAAGAGTGGTCATGATTAGTGTCTTCCAGGTATTTGAAATACTGACCAAGAAAATGGCATTTAAATGGCTATTCCAAGAGGAGGACCTAGGAGCAGTGGAAAGAAGAGCTGGATGACAGTTGCCATGTCAGAGATCTTTCAGTAACAGTAATGCGTGTGTTAGTTCTGACTTTCCTATATTACTGTGGTGGGAAACTGTTGGAAAGTTGAAATGTCAGATAGTAAAATGTTGCTGAAGGCTTGAGTCTGTTTATTTTAATGTAATTGTTACTTGTTGCTAGGTGCTGTCAAGTTGAGTGTAATTCATAGCAACCCTGTAAACCCAGATCTGAACCCTGACCTATCCTATGCCATTCTCATCATCTCTGCAGTCACTGTGTCACTCCACCTGGTTGAGGGTCTTCCTCTCCATCACCATCCCTCTAGCTTTTGCAAGCATGATGTCCTTCTCTAAGGAATAGCCTCTATTGGCAACCTCTCCAAGTATGTGGGACAAAACCTTGTCTTCCTTTTGTTGTTGTTTGTTTTTTTAATACTTTCTTAAATTAGAATAATGTCTCATTTTTACTTTAAAAATACTATCCTTTATTACTCTTTGGCATTTGTATAAATTCAAATATGAGGCTGTTGATGATCAGCAATGAATTCTAAGTGATCTCAGTAATGAATTCTACACTCAAATGGTCAGTAATGAATTTTAACCCTTGGCTCGTGGGAGCAGGAAGGTGCCTGGGAAACTTGAGAAAAGGTGAGAATTTCACAAACTGCCTGCCTGGCCAGGCTCACTTCCACTGTGGACTTTGAAAGAAAAGCTAGAGGATGCAGGACACCAGATGAAGATGGCCTAGTGTTAAGGAGTTGTACTGCCAATCTTAAGGCACAGGGTTCGAATCCACCAGCAGCTGCTGTGAGGGAGAAAGATGGGCAGTATTACCTGTGCAATTTAGAGCCTCTGGAAAACTTCTGGAGAGTCAGATATGAGTCATTTCCAACTCGATGGCACAAAACAACAACAGTTAAGTCTAGATTAACTGTTTAATTACGTCCAGAGAGCCCAACCAAGGGTCCCAGATTGTTCAGTCATCTAGTGACACAAATCAGAATAGAAAGAACCCTTGGTTTTTACCTTAATACTTTGTGTACCCACAAAGAGTGCCAAGTATTGTTTGATGGTCATACAGCCAGTGCCAGATCACATAGTGCTATGTATTTTATTCACTCTGGGGTTTCAGGAAGAACATTTCGTAGCAATAGACTTCTCACATTTCTCTCCCCAAATTTTTACCTGGCCTTAGGGGTTCTAGGTCCTCACAGTACCCACTAGGTGGTGCCCTTATTCAGAAGCTTTGCTGTAGGACTTTAGGTCCAGAGAGTAGATGCATAGGAATGCTTGAGCACTTTGAGTCAAGTATTTGATCTTGCAATTAAATGCATCAAGAGAAAATTTCAGTCATGAACAGTGTAAAGCTGAAATGCAGAAATTATTTATTATACTTATTTCTTTTTTAATCTTTAAGAATGTGTGTTGAACTTCTGGTATGACACAAAAAATATCCCATTTCACTGCTTCTCTTATGGAATTTGAGAGGGGGATGGAGAACACATAAAAGGGAGATTTAAGTAATACTGAAAATTAAAAAGGCTGTAAAGAGTGAAATTGTACTGCAAGTTCCCAAACTTGAAAAGAGGGACTATGCTCAAAATCTTCCTCTAAATTTTCAACTCTAAGCTCTGCTCTGGATATAAAATGATTGGTTGCTGTATTTCAAAATCCTAACAGAGTAACTGCTCAGTGGTTCCAGATGTTTTTGATAAAAACTTGGAATTGTAACATCAGCAAAAGCACAGGACTACAAATGCCGTCTGCTCTTGGGGCGTGGCAAACAGATTCAGAGGGGCAAAGCAAAACAGGACCCCCCCAGTACACATACACACACACACACTCGGAACATTTGTTCTCTAAAAAGAAACAGAGGATGCCAGAACAGTTCCAAATCCTCTCCCCCCCCCCCCCATATATGTGGCCATAGTCTCAGAAATCTAGATTTTTCCAGCCTATAGTGTGGACTACAAAGATTAATTTATAAGTCTCAAATTGGGCTGTTGTCTCAATAAAGGACTAATCTATGTGTCTCCAATTGAATGGCTTCAGTAAATTAGATTATTGTATAAGAAAGCTCTTTCTCTCTAGTTTTACAGACTTGGAGGAGAGAGGCCTTGTTTCTTTTGTCCTCACTGCAAGGCACATTTTAGACTTGTTAAATAGATACAGATTATCTCCATTTAGTTTAATAGTTTCATGGGGTTGGGAGTAGGAAGGCTCTATGGTGATTAAAGCATCTCTGGTCCCTCGAGAGATGTCTGGGAACCTGGAAGCAGGAAACATTTGATTCTAATTAAAGCAGAAGGGAGCTGCAGTGAGGAAGGAACCATACTGAGGACAGAGGGGAGGCAGCCTTCTGTTCATATGGGGAAGGGACAAGTTTAAGTTACAGCATGGTAAAAACTGATAAAAAAAAAGATAGTAAATGATCATCCCCCCCATCCCACACCCCCATAATCTAAAGCTTGAGACATCAGTTTGTGTCTTGGACCACATAGTTTCAAAGTACTTTTAAATCTCTGGCCGGGTTCCCATGCTTTCGGTAAACCCAAACAAAACTTTTATTTACACGTTTTTAATCTCTCTCTAATCTTCAGATTTCTACTGTTTTCTGACGTCGTTTAACTGCATGTGGTGCTAACTTTACAGCACTCACTCTGGGGCTTGTGGATGTGAGAGTGAGTGTCCCCCTTCATGCCTGGAATAGAGCAGGGAGGGGAGAGTGAGGTGAAAGGCTGAGTCGGTTTTGGCTATGGTAGTAACGGATAGGTGAGGACAATCCTTAGGATTTTAACACACTCACTGTATTATCCATTGATATCTAGCCTGAAAAAACTTTTATTGCCCCACTAATTTTGTTTACAGTGGTAACTACTGAAAATTAAATGTCTCTTCTTTTTTCTTGTGATTTGAACGCCCTCATTTACACTTTCCAAGAATAGGTAAGGACTATGGCCACTTGAGGAAAGATTTAGAGCTCTGGAAGGAGAGGAAATCTCTCACTCTCTGCACTCCTTTTCTGTTTCCTTCAGTTCTTTCACTCTCCCAGGTCATTACGATTCAAATAAGAGAATGTCTGAAGTGAGAAGGTGAATTCTGGAATTAGGTCCGCTCCTGACAATTGCTGGCTACAGGAAGGGCTAGAGGGACCCCGTGAGCAAGTGAAGTAACAGCAGATGTAAGACCCCCTCAGGGAGAGTGAGTGGATCCAGCCAGATGACTCTTCAGAGTCACAGAAAATATGAAGACACACGTATCTGTACATTCTACTCTTCTCTTGTTCTTCAGAGCTCTTTCATCCCTCCCCCTCAAGGGGACGGGGAAGCTCCAGCCTTGATAATTTTTAAACCCTGTCAGGCACTCCTATTGTAGCCAGTTCTGAATCCTTGAGCCATAGCCCTGAACTACTTGGCTAACATTTTTCTCATATTAAATCATTGGTTTGCTTTTGGCAGGACGATGCTGTGTACACACTGGTAGTTTCGATTTTCTGGACTTTGTGGAATAGAAAAGTCTGCTGTCACTGCTGGGTCGTGGTGTTGGGGATGTGGTCCCCCTCCCTCTGTTACCTCCCTGCTCTAACACCAAAGCACCCGCATTGCATCTTGCACTGCCTGACAGAGCCTTTTTCATAGGGGACAGTGTGAGGAGGAGGAAGCGGTCTGGGAAAGGAAGCCTTGTTTTTCTTTTCTTCGTCTGTGGATGAATCATGTTCCCACCACTGCAATTAGGTTTTCAAACCTCCAAGGCTGCTGGTACGGAGCAGAAAGGGCAAGTAGTGACGTTTTTGAGAGAGAGAGAGAAGAGAGCAGAAGAAGGAGGAGGAGGAGGAGGGACGGGGTGGGGAAAGGCTCTTTCCAGCAGGAAGAAGGCAGGGAGGGGATAGGGCCAGAGGAGTGTTCTCCCCCACCCCCTTGACTGCTCCCTTTAGATATTTTCAACTTAAGTCAAAACCAAGATCTGCCGTCTGCTGAGCAAGAGACAGGAGAGAAAAAAAGAAACAACAAAAAACTATTTACTTGGAAAAGAATCTACCAGCTGATTTCTACTTTTTACATTTTTTTTTAACCTCTATAAGAGAGAGATTGATTTTCTTTACCTTCTTTTTGGTTGTGGGGGGTTTTTTTTTGGTGTGATCCCCCCCACCCACCCAATTACCTTTTCTATTTTTAAAAGCAAGAGCAGATTTCAATGAGAGCATTTTCATCTCCCCACCCTCTCACACTGTTTTTCCCTGTCTCGATTTTCCTGGCAAGGCACATATTGGATTCCTATTGCTTCCTTTGGGCTTTTTTTCTCGCCTCTGTCGGCCATGATGCTTAATCAGTTAATCTTTAATTTTTCTGCTGGAGTTATTACCAGTGATGGGAACTGTATGCTTCTCTTTTGGTCAAGATTTGCCCAGAGGATAGCATCAGGAGGCACTGCCTGTGTCTATCATGAATTGTAAGTTCATTATCCCAGTCCTGCGAAGTTGCCGTAAAGTTATTATTTCAAGAATTGGAGTCTACTGGGTTTCTTTTAATTCATCTTTGACCCTTTGTGGATGCTAGAGAGAGATAGATAAGTGTCTGGAAGACAGATCCCCAGCTCCTTCGGCAGTCTAGAACTCTGCGCTTGTGTGCAAATACTAGTCCTGGCAGTCACGGGGGACATTCCTCCTGCGTTTTGTCGCCACTCTTCCTGAATTTGGACAAAATGTATGAACGGCACAAGAGGCGCTACAGCCTGTGTGACATCTCCAAGGTGGACAGGACTGTGGATGTGGTGTTGCTGAAGGTAAGGGGACAGCCCTACACAAACCCTAAAGCTCCCTGCACTGATACACAGCTCTTATCACTGTGTCAGTGTGATAAGAGGAAATACTGAAGAGTGTGTGTCTGTGTGTTGAGGGGGGTGATTTTTTTAGACCCTTCGAAGTAGGATCATCTGAACTGAAACAGTGAGTGTTTAGGAATCAGCAAGGAATGACTGACTACTGTTCACAAATTATTTTCTTTGTTGCTTTAGGATGATTTCTTACGATTGGAAAATCTCAGACTGTTGAAATCACAGAGAAATCTACATTCAGCGTCTCTCTTTCCTGGCTTATCTCTGTCCTATCCTCAGCACCCCTTCGTCCCATCCCGCATCTGTCTTAGTCTCTGCCAGTCTCTCCCTTTCTGCCTCCCTCATCTGTCTCAGTCCTAGTCTCTGTCAGTCTCTCCCTTTCTGCCTCATTTTCTCAGTCTTGTGTTAGTTTTTTCTCCCTCCATTGTTTTGCTGCTGTTTTGTCACTCAGTTTTCTAGAAGAAAGGTAGGCAGGGTATTTATCAACCTAGTTCTTAAAGTGGCAGAGTTGCCCTTTGGGCTTGGCATGACTGTTTTCAAGTCTAGCTTCTGACCATTGATGGTTCTATTTGTTTGTTTTCTCAGTGTTTGTGCAGTTGGGTGTCTAAGCAGTATAGGGGTGGAGCCTCTGGGTGACTAATTGCTCATGGAAGGCATCCTTGAATCTAAAATTAGTAAGGACTCCTCCAGGCACTAAATGGGAGGTTGGGAGTGTTGGACAACTAACTCAAGAAGCACTGTTTGTAAGTTTAGCAGTTTTCTGGCAAATTTAGAGGAAATGCGAAGCCAATGGAGTGTTTCACAGATGCCAGAAAGAACCTCAAAAACCATTACTTGGAAAAGTTGTATGAAGCCAGTGGATGGGGCAGGGGGAAGTTTAGGCAGTGTATCAGTGTATTGCTCTGGCAAGGAGATACTGAGATTGGTTTATTAATTTATTCCATTTATTACTTGAGAGACCCTTATTTTCTTCACTAGACCCAGAAGCCAGTGAAAGACCATCTTGGTAGGTACAGGAATTGTGATTTGTGGTCTTCTCCTCTCTAATCTCTTACCACCTGGTGCTTTGGCTTGCCATACGTAGGTCAAGAGCAACAGATGATTTGACATTTTGAACTTGTTCTAAGAGATGACTCATTTTATCTACACTACTATTTCCTTTATGAAAACAGATATTTAAAACATATTCTGTCCATATGTATTTAGGAGAACTTAGTATTTGAGACCTTTATTTGCTGTGCAAGGATCACACACAGAATTGTGAGGCATTCCATATTATTTAGGAGTTCACAGCTTTAGTTTGCTTGGCTCCACAATCAACACTCTTGGCACCAGCAGCCAGGAAATTAAAAGATGTATTGTGATGGGAAGGTCTGCTGTTAGGAACCTCTCTAAAGTACTGAAGAGCAATGGTGTCTCTTTGGAGACTAAGGTGTGTCTGATATAGGCCATGGTCTTCGCAGTCACATGTTATGCGTCATAGAGTTGGACAGTGACTAGGGAGGAGAGAAGGAGAATTGATGCCTTTGAGCTGTGGTGAACAGTATTGAATGTACCCTGGACTGCCAAGAAAACAAATTCATCCAGGAGAGGGTTAAACCGGGCTGCTCCTTGGAGGCAAGGATTCTGAGGCTTCATCTGACATACTTTGGTCATGTTGTAAGGAGAGACCGGTCCTTGGAGA